ATGAAAACAGATGAAAAGATAAAAAATGATTAAAAGTGTATAAATCATCATCATCAATCAAATATTCTCAATATTATCATTTGTCTGTAGCCAATGAGGCCTCAGGGAAGTCAGCCAGGTCCAGCCCCTCCCCCACCAGCCCTGGGACTCAACGCAGCCTCAAGGTCGGATTCATTTATCGATCGATCGACTGAACTGTTTTCTTCAAATCTGGAATTAGAAAATCTTTCTTTTCTCTTTCCACACTTTCACGTCTGTCTGGTTTTCTCTGCAGATCGCTCCTCGTCGATCCTCCTCCACTGACGTCAACGGAGAGTCCGAGCAGCCGGACGACGCCACTGTCGAAGGTTATTTAAAAAAAACAAACTAATGTCAAAGTGTGATGTAAAGTTTGGGTAAAAGAAAACCAGAAATAAATCGATCCAGGATCTGAAACTACAAAAGTTTGAAGTGAATTTTTTAAAAGCAGCATCTCAGGAAAAGTCACGTCAGTAGAAAAAGTCTGAGCCAGCTGCAGCTTGAACACATCAAGGGTTCGTCCCAGCTGACGCTACAAACGCCACGTGTGTTTGAAAGGTTGAAAAGACTCAGAGTGTGAAGGTGACAGCAGACGCGTGAACTTCAGGCCTCAGAGTGAAGATTCAAAGTCGTCAAACTGTGAAACCTTCACATCTGCTTGTTCACACTGGAGAAAACCAGTGAAACATCCTGAGTACAGACTGAACAAATCGTTCTCCTCTCACAGTTAACGGGAATCGATCGGTTTCTTCCTCCAACATCAACGAGAAATACAAAGTCGGGAAAGTGATCGGAGACGGAAACTTCGCTGTGGTGAAGGAGTGTGTGGAGAGGTGAGGGACATGGAGAACCAGAAACTCCAAATATGAGACTTACAAACTGGGAGGTTTTGGACTTGTTGATTGACAGGTCGAGTGTTTTGATTGACAGGTCGACGGGACAGGAATACGCCCTGAAGATCATCGACAAGGCTCGCTGCTGTGGGAAGGTAACACTGACGTTTCTTTGAATATCGTGTTTTCACACGAGCGTTTAAGTGTCACACACCGGAACACTGTGTGTGTGTGTGTGTGTGTGTGTGTGTGTGTGTGAGAACAGGAGCACCTGATAGAGAACGAGGTGGCGGTCCTGCGGAGGGTTCGACATCCGAGCATCATCCAGTTAATCGAGGTGGACGAAACTCCGTCGCAGCTGTTCCTCGTCATGGAGCTCGTCAAGGTTCTTCCTCCTCTTTCTTCTTCACCCTCATCCTCTCATTTCTCTGAAGCAGGTGAACAGTGACCACTCTTGTGCCTCTGCCTCCACCAGGGCGGCGACCTGTTCGACGCCATCACCTCCTCTACTAAGTACAGTGAGCGTGACGCAAGCGCCATGGTCTTCAACCTGTCCGGAGCCATCAAGTACCTGCACTGCATGAACATCGTCCACCGTGACATCAAGCCCGAGAACCTGCTGGTAAGCACACGCACACACACACACACACACACACACACACACACACACACACACAAGGTTAAGGCGTTAACTGGAGTGTGTGATCAGGTGTGTGAGTATCCAGACGGCACCAAGTCGCTGAAGTTGGGGGATTTTGGTTTGGCGACGGTCGTGGAGGGACCGCTGTACACCGTCTGTGGGACGCCAACGTATGTCGCCCCGGAGATCATCGCAGAGACCGGGTGAGGAAACATTTCACTGTTTTTATGGCTCCGTGTCGGTGACACCCAGTGGTTGGAGGATTTACGTTTTCAGGTCGTCCGTCCATCCGTCCGTCCCATTGTGAACACGATATCTGAAAAAGGCAGTGAGGGAATTTATTTAAATTCAGCCCCGATGTTCACTTATAGAATCAGCTCAGTTTCCTAATTGGACTCGTTAATCATGATTGTTTTACCTGTTCTGTGTGTTTGTGAAGTTATGGTCTCAAAGTCGACATCTGGGCGGCTGGAGTCATCACCTACATCCTGTTGTGTGGATTCCCTCCATTCCGAAGGTCAGCGAATAATAAAACCTGCAGTCGCTCTGTCAGACCATTTAAACAACATGTGTCCACATCTGGTCTCTGTTCTAATATAGTGCTTTGTTTTTCTATTGCATGAACTTTTATGTGTATTTGCTGCAGATGAATAACCTTCGTCATGTTTGTCGGTTCATAAAAAGCTGTTTCCTCGTCTTCCTCAGTGAGAATAATGTGCAGGAGGAGCTGTTCGATCAGATCCTCAGAGGGAAGCTGGAGTTTCCGTCTCCAGACTGGGACACCATCAGTCTGCCTGCAAAGGTACCACAGCCTCTCACAGTCCTTCGCTCACTGCTAATCGTCTTTACTGTCAGTGACGCAAACGCATGCAGGTCGGAGACACTTTGATAAAACAGCTCATAAAAAAGAACAATGGTCAGTTCACTGCAGGCTGTTAACTGTCACATGACCTGTTCCCCAGATGCTGATTAGTCAGATGCTGCAGGTGAACGTAGACACTCGTTTCACTGCAGAGGAGGTTTTATCACACCCCTGGGTGACGGTAAGAACACACACACACACACACACACACACACA